TTGACTGATGCCAAAGTAAAGTGGAAGGACATTCTGACCGAAGTCTTATGGGCTTATCGTACAACTTCGAAATCCAGTACCGGAGCCACCCTGTTTTCGTTGGTCTATGATACCGAAGCATTAATACCGGTCAAAATGATGGAACCAAGCCTCAAGTTCCAATATGCGACCGAAGAATCAAATGGTGAGGCCATGAGTAAGAGCCTAGAACTATTGGATGAAAGGCGAGAGGCCGCCCTAGTCCGGTTAGCCGCCCAGAAGCAGCCAACTCGGAACCCGAATGAGGGAAAGTTATGTTGCATATCCGGAACCTGAATGAGGAAAAACTGGGGCCGAACTGGGAAGGACCGTATCGAGTCATCTGAATTACCGGCAAGGGATCGTACAAACTCGAAGCATAAAATGGTGCACAACTACCAAACAACTGGAACATAACGCACTTAAGGCGATACTATTGCTAAGGTACGTTTTCAGTTACCTTTTTTACAACATTATGAATCAGACTAACGTTTGCAGGTAATGGCCAAGGGAAAGTATGACTATTAGGTCTGAAAGCACACGTTGCACTCTTTTTCCCTTGAACCGGTTTTGTCCCAAATGGGTTTTCCGGCAAGGTTTGTAATGAGGCAACAGTGGATCGTGCTAACTTAGATCCGAAGACTGGTTTTAAATCGGAGTCAATGGTCGCATTAACAGTATCTGATCCCTCCCGAAGATCGACCTCGAATACTGGGGGGCCATCACCCTCGGGTTAGACTTCTTAGCAAGAAAAAAAGGTAACTTTGTACTTGAACATCTTAGGCCCGATGGTTAGGATTTATTATAAGCGCCAAACGTTCAAATGAATCGTGCCTGCATAGGCCACCGTAGCCATAGTACAAGCTTTTACTCACTTTCGATCATGTACCTTGCACACAGAAATAAAACAAAGTTCCCACCTTGTTATTATATATTTTTTTCCCTTTCAAAATATCGAGCCCAAGAGCTACCCCTACCCGAGCCTAAGTGTTGTCCCTATTCGGGGATTAACGTCTGAAATAAGTCGGGCATCTCGGGCTATCAAATCCCGGAGGCACAAAACCTATTAGGTATGCCTAAACCCAAAAGGCTACGGCCATGGTAAAAAATAGTTCAGAGACGTCCGAAGCCCGTAATCAAAAGGCCTTCAATAAAAATTCAAAACCCGCCAAAAAGGTTACCCTCGACAAAAGCATCGTCCAAGAACACTTAGCATTTTCGGAAAACTTTTGGTCACTTCGAGTTGTCAAAGCTTCGAGCAAATAAAAAATTGCATCGAGGCCAGGTTCTATTTGGACCTCCAAAAAATAAACGACTTATTACTACATTAGATTCTATGCTAAGGCATTAGAAATATTTGCAAGAATAGAAATCGTGAAAAGATGCTAAAACAGTTGAAATTGCCAAAGGGGAAAATTTTTATATATTCTGCAATATCCTAACTTCGACGACCTTTACCTTTTTGACCAAGTTGGTATGCTCCCGCTATAGGACCGATGCCTCTTTCTGAGCCCTATCAAGCTTGGTCTGGATGTCCTTAATGACCATTTTCTTGTTGCACGCTAAGGAGCTTGTACGTATCTATTTTTCTGGGCTAGCTCCTTGACCTCGAGCTCGAGCTGATTGACCTCGACCCGGTACCGGAGGAAGCTCTCATGATGAAGTACCGAGGCCTGTAAAAAGGTGAAAGACATGAGAAACATCAAACCCTAAGTAAAGTTCAAAGGAATATAATGATCCCTTACCCGGTTCAGCGCCTACTACACCTTGTTGAAAAGGCACGGCTCATTGACCTCATTCATTTTTTCCCGGTCCTCCTCAGTCACCAGGCATCGGAGGTAGCTTGCTACTCTTAATGGGAGCAAAAAGAACTCGGGAATCCTCCGGGACAGTAAGAATAATCTATATTTTACGGTCGGGATTCGCACTCGGGGCAGGGAACTGATTGATCAACTTCGGGCTCGAACTTGTCCCGCCAGCTTCCGAAGACGGATCCTTCCTCAAAACTTCTAGGTCGCCCAGACCGGAAAAATCTTCCAAAATGGACGATTTCACACCATCAAAAAAGGAACGAAGGGGATCGTCCGCACCATGAACCCCTTCGTTGGACCTCTTATTTCCTGCTCGGGCCTCCTTAAACATGGACTCAGTGTAGGAGGGCGACCCCGAAATCTCTATTATACCGGGCACTTCCTTCAGGGCAGATGGCATCCTGGGGGGCCTCAGCGCTCGTCTCCATATCTATCTCTCGAGTCTGAGGGAGATCAGCCTCCCGAATCTCCCCCTCCTCCCCCCTCCCCCCCGGCTACCACCTGCTCCTCGAGAGCGGTCGACCCGTGGGCCACAAAAATATCTTCTTCGGACTCATCCTTGAGCCAAAAAAGCGAATCTGAGTCCGGTGCTCGGTAACCAGAGCTCTTCTTTGGCTTACGAGCCAATCTCTTCTTTGGCTTCACTACGGAACTCGGGGAGCCCGAAGCTCTCCTCTTTTTCTTTTTCTTTTCCCCCGCTGCAGCCTCGGACTATCCTGAAATAGAGGGATCAACAGACAAAGACACGTCCCTATCCCCATCTAAAGGCCTAAGTTCAGTGGTCTTAGAAAAACCTACAAAAAGAAAAAAAGAAATAAGAGTAAGTATGATGTAAATAGGAAAGCCTGATATTACCTATTCGAGGAAAGGCCTTACCATGAGAACGGGCCTCCCATCGTCTCTTCGAGAGCTTGCGCCATGCGCGCTCGAAATATGACATATGTGTATAAATACCCTCGATCCACTCCTTGAACCGAGGGATAGCGTTAGGAACCCGGGCAACGGCTGCATTACCATATATGTGATGAGAAGAAATGACATAAATAAAAGATTGACGCTTAAGGAGAGACTATACTTACGATATGCATTCCACTTCTCAGGGAATGGCATGAGCTCAGGGGGAATCAAGTCTTTGGTATTCACCCGAACAAAGCATCCTTGCAACCCTGGTCTCTGTCTTCATCAATGCTCGAAAATAGGGCCTTGTTGGCCCGACGTGTAAGCTTTATTAGTCCCCCTCGAAAGATTCGAGGGGCTGTATAAACGGAGCATATGATCAATGGTGAACTGACAAGAAGCGATCTTATTCGCGAAGTAACGAAGAAGGATCACGATCCTTTATAAAGACGGATAGATTTTCCCAAGGCACACCTCGTACCTCTTGCAAAAGTTCAGGAAAACCGAGTCCACCGGACCTAGTGTGAAGGGGTAAGTGTAAACACTTAGGTACCCCTCCATGTGGGTAGTAATGGCATCCTCGGGCTCGGGGACTACTATGTCCTTGCCTTCCCAGTTGCGGACCACGGGAAGGACATCTTCGACCACGGAGCAAATGTACCTTGACACTCCGTCACTCCGGTCCTGTTTGTGTTAGGGTTTCTCGACCTTAAAGTCGTCTGCAATTGAGCAGCCCCCGGGAATAAACATTTTCAAGGGAGGCTTGGGGGTTGGTTCATCGACAGCGACCTCGGGAGAAGCCGTTTCGAGGACAACTACTTTAGGAGCAACCGCATCGGTACCAGCGGCCGGTTGAGAAGATAAAGCAGCAACTTGTTGAGGAACCGATTTAGATGTTTTATCCATTGTTATTTGAAGAAGTTTGAAAAACTCAAGAGAAGATTTTGAAAGATAAATAATTGAATTTAATGATTTGGGAAAAATCTAGGTAAAAATCTAGAAATTGCTGTGAAATCTTAAAAATAAGGGAGAATATATGAAAGTTGAAGAAGGCTGGTGATGGCTTGAGAAATCGAGGGTAGAAGATTAGTCAAAAAGTAAAAAAAGAACAAGGGGTGAAACCTTATATAGAAAAAAGTTTGTGACGCTTCGCATTCGGAGGTAATCAACTGATGGTTGACACGTGCTCGAAGTATGAACGACACTACTGATAGGACTTTTCGGCTTCTTAGCCATTTTGTGTTATAACGTACGAAAGAAGGAACCGGGAAACATCTGTCGTTTCTCATCGTTTCGGCAAACCTGCCCTCTAAGAAATGCGGGGACTATCTGTATACGGGTAAAATCGGAGGTAAGAAGCGCCCCGATTTCCCGATAGGGCGAACGAAGAGAGGGTATAACTGCGTGTAGTCAAGATCGAAGCCGGGAGCCGCCCGTATCAAAGCTCGAGCAAAACACCTAATGCCTTCGGAGCCATCGAAATCACGCCCTCGAACCTGATTCGAATAATGTGATCTAGAAAAGCATTACCAAACGACCGCACACGATCAACAAAGGACCGTGATATCCGTGCCCAACCGAATGTCACGGCGTAAACCTCGGCCCGTATCAACGGTAGATCAGTGATTAGCGAGAACAAAGTTTTTTATCTTTTTTAGAATTGTACTTAAGATAAAACTCCCATACTATATAAAGGGGAAGCTCACTATTCATTAGAGACATTGTAACACATATACGAAGGCAATATACATTCTTTTTTCTTTGGTTATTTGAAAGTTCTTGTTTTGGTTCATAAGTTCTCCATAAGCACTGGTCCGGAAATGAAGGCGAGCTTCTTGTTAAGCTTTTAACCGAGCCCGGGTTCAGTATCATCATTGGTTTGGCTATTTGTTCTATCTTTTAATTGCTTGTCTATCGTCATTAATCGCTTGTATCAAATTAATCTACGTATTCTTAAAACCGCGTATAAATTCAATTGTTATCAATTTTTAAAGATAAACAACTTTACAATAATTTTTTCTTCCTCTATATGTATAAATATTTCGTTAATTAAATATTTTATTTCTTCGTATAAATAATTTATTAAACACTTATGTGCAATTATTAAGGTGCATGCACAATGGTAGAAACTAGTAGAGTAGTAATAACTAATAATAGAGATACTAGTGTTGCAATTATCCAAGAATATTGTGCCAGGAGACAATGACTAAAAGGAGAGCCAGCGTTTGTGCCCTTTTAGTGGCCCTTTTAGCCTTTATTAGTCAAAATGACTAAAAGGGCCCCACTAAAAGAACAAAAGTCAGTGCAGTAGTACCATTTTCTAATCTTTCCTACTTTCCGAGGGAAGCAGCAAGGGGGGAAAAATGGGAATCTGGGACTTCATTAATTCCGGCAAAGAAACGGTGAAAGGATACGCACCGGATCCGGTAAAGAAGGTCTATAATACTACCTATTATTACAGTGCAGCTGCCGTTAGAAAGATTGACGACGTCGTTAGAGTTAACGGTATACAGAAGCTGGGTCAGTACATACCCGATGATGATGAAGGTCGGGCTAAGATCGTCAGTTTCAGCACAAAATTCGTCAAAAATGCTTCCGTTTATGCCGTCAAAGAAGCACCCAACTTCATTCCTGGTTTGCTCTCTTATTCATTTAGACTTTTANGAGTGAAGTGAAAAATGTTGTGGGTAAATTATTTTCCCAAATCAGCCACCTGTAACAACTTCTCTTCCTCCTTTTTCCCTCTTAAGAATGATTATCTTGATTATCAGAATTATTAGCTTTTTTACTTCATGTATAATTCATAAGTGAAAATAGCTCATGCTCCTCCACACACACACACACACAAAAAAAAAAAAAGAAGAAGGAACTAGTCTCAGTAACAGTTTTATAATTAAATAGAAAGTATTTGAAAATTTTATAAGCAACGAATTCTTTACTTCCTAATAAATAGATAAGGGTAAAATGAGACAAAATGGAGTATGTATAAACAAAAGGTAGCAGGTATGCGGTGGAATAATCTAGGCGCGTAAACCGACCTGAAAGCCGGCATGTGGTAAATAATGTTTATTTGTAGATTTAACTTGGATTCGAATTTTAGATATGTCAAAAAAGATATAATTGCTGGGTGTGTTAGCCATGATTAAAGATCTTGAGCATGAGTATGCAATTACAGCCACCATGGGTTGTGTTAGCAACTCAATTGATCAGATAATTGCATGCACTTGAAAATAAAGTAAATAGCAAACTCTAAAATGAAATTGGGAAAAATGAAAACGTGTCATCATCTAATGAATTTGTTACATAAAACTCAGGGTGAGATTCTGGAGAAACATAGAATAATGTTGCATCAAAGTCCTGTAAGCTATATTCTCATGTTTTTTGCTGTCATTACTTTTTTGTTCTACAATATTTTTATCATAGTTTTTTTACTCCTGTAGTTTTCAAATATTGAAAAACGCTTTTTTTGAGTCGAGGGTCTAGTAGAAACAACATCTCTACCATACAAAGGTAGAGGTAAGGTCTGTGTACACTCCACCCTCCCTAGACCTCACTTGTGGGTTCACACTAGGTATGTTGTTGTAAGCTATATTCTCATGTACAGGTGGGAAGGCAGTTACCAAAATTTACTTTGACACAGTTCGTGAAATGGAAACTGAGTGTCAAAAGAAACAAGACGAATCATGTATCAAGGAAATCACTGGTACTAATTCAAGTACGAATACCACTGTTCGTAGTAAGCTCTGAGATTGCTAGATGGGGAAGAGATGCTGGAAAGCAGGGAGCTGAAGTTAGGTTCTGAAAATAGAGTTGAGGCTGATTCATTTACACATCAAACACCTGTAGATGTCATAAGAGTTTTCCTGATGAAGGAGTTTATGGGCACTCGTTATCTCGGCAATTTGTTGGTACCGGCCTGATCATCGACAACAGAAGAGGAAGGCCTAGTTTGAAGCAAACCTACGTGGAATCAGAGATTAATTCTAAGTATGTATCTGGCATCTCATATATGTTTGTATTACTGGACTGCTGGTACTTTATGCTTGTAAATAGATCTAAGTTACCTGAACTGTAGTATCATGATTCTAAATATGCTTGCAATTATATGAGGCATCACTTTGTTGTGTTTCATTCAAGTTTAACTGATGGAAAGTGAGCTATATATATGCCTCTACGAGGGTAATTTTGAACTATAGTATCATGAGTTCGAATCTCTATACACTTGTTTCTATTTCCTCTTTATTTAAAAAGAAAAAACTTAAGAAATGGATCTTGGAGGGTAATTCGTGGTTGATGAGTTCCCTCTGCCTTGGTATGATGTCCGTATCTTAAAAAAGATGACGCTGGAAAATATGTTTGCCTTATGTTACCTTCTCAAAAAAAAAATATGTTTGGCTTGATTCGCTTGAGGTTTGATTTTTAAAAAGAATTAGCAATTGTATTTAGCGAAAACTGATTAGAACAATTGAAAGAATTTTGCTGGATTAGTCAGGTATCAAAGGATTTATAAGTTTGAGCTTAAGACATGCAAGATTTAGTTTGAACTTTACGGGTTCGAATTCGAAAGTTCATCATATCCCATCTAATTTACCGGGTTCTAAAATCTCTTATTTATATTGATTTAATACTAAACTTCACTCTAATTTATGTGAACCTATTCTTTTTAGTCAGTTAAAAAGAATGAACCCTTTCCTAATAAGAAAATTCTTAATTTTAGGATTTCAATATTACCGTTATTGAGAAGTTTTTAGCCATGCAAATGGTATGTTATATTTTAACCCGCAAGTTTCAAAAGATATATAAAAATGTTATGACATGTTTAAAAAGATTTGGAAGTGGAGGGTGCTCACCACTAGAGCAAGTCACTCTTGTCTAAGCCAAAACTATTAAGTTTAAATGACTCAGGGCATTCTGTAGACAAAACCCTCTTATAATCTTCAGTAGCATAGCCAGAAAACATGGTTGAGCTACATTATATTACATAGGAAACCAGGGAATGAAAATGAGAGAAAACAATGAGACTTGGGTGTGTTTGGTACGGTGGAAATTGTTTTCTTGAAATTTATCACTTATATTTTCATGTTTGATTGGTGAGTGAATTTGTTTTTTCCTGAAAATAGTTTTTAGTGTGTGATTAGTGAGTAGAAATATTTTTTTTGAAAGATACTGTATATAATTTAGTCAAACACTATGGGGTGGGGTGGA